GGGGGTGAGGGGGGGGTAAAAGGACAGAAAGGAAAGGAATTCTCACTGGCAGTTTCTTTTTTTTAAACAAACAATCAGACAAAACAAAACACGTGATTAAAAGTCGTCCATTCGTCCAGAAAGTCGTCTTCCAGAATCATCTTTGATTCTCTGAGATTAAACAACACCAGGAATTGTTGCTTGTATGTACCATGTGTGACCTCCAGGGGGCTGCAACCCTGAACTTTACCACCTCTTAAATTCACCAAGAGCTGCAAACATGTGGAGCAGCCACATGGTGGCAGTAGACACACTCAATCACCAACTACAACAGAGTCAGTTTGCAGTTGGACTCCCTCCCTCCCTCCCTCCCTCACCCGCAGTCACCCGGGGTGAGAGTGTGACACCGGGTCACCAGTTCAACAGGACGCGGTGCCTTTGTGCTGTTAGCAAGCAAGAAGAAACTGACCTGAGGGGGCGGGGCCAGGAGGGGGCGGGGCCAGGAGGCTGGGCAGCAGCAGAGTTTGCAGACCCCCGCTGCTGGTCAAGTAGTAGTAGTAGTAGTAGTACTGTAGTAGTACTGTAGTAGTATTAGTAAGTTCAGTCCAACTTCAACATGGTATTTCACAGGACATTCATCACAACATCGTCTTCGTCCCAAAGAAACACAGGTTTAGGTCTGTTCTGAACACAGACTGTGTCCAGACAGAGGTTCATCCACTGGTTCTGGACCACTGGTTCTGGACCACTGGTTCTGGACCACTGGTTCTCCATCACTGACAAACAGCAGAACCTGAAACTTGTTTGGTAGAAAATCCTGACAAATACAAAAAATACCGTTTTTTTCTGTTGTTGGATATAAACTGACAAAAAAAACCAAACAAAAACAAATCCTTAAATCAAGCCACCAGCGCCGCTGCTCCACCACCAGTGCATCAGCGTCGCTGCTCCACCACCAGTGCATCAGCGTCGCTGCTCCACTGTGGTCGGATTATTTAAGAATCAAAACTGAACAAAAATCCAGCTTTTACTCGACGTCTATTCACAGTTTTCAGTTCAATGGTCGGAGGAGTGAGATGTTAGCGCCACCTTCAGGTTCATTTGTGCAGAGCTTATTTTCATATATTGCAACATATGTAAATATATACGTGCGTGTGTATTAGTACACACCGTATTCTGTCCCTAATGCCCCTAATAAACACAGATATCACCCCCCCCCCCCAGACAGGGATCATCTTTGGATTATAATACTAGTGTGGATTAGCCGTGTGCAGGCAGATTATAAAAACATGTGGATTAAATGATCACTGGTTCTGATGTGATCCAGTTCACGTGAAGGCACCAGTTTATAACACTGCCCTCGTGTGGTGACAGGCAGAAACACAGGAGCTCACTGAGCTTTTGGTGGGGGTGCAGTGGGGGGGGCAGTGG